TTTCAGGACTTTTGACCTCCAGAACTGTAAAATAAATTGGTGAGCTTTTAGCCACTAAGTTTGTGGCAATTTGTTACAGCAGCAGTAGGAAACTAATATACTCTTTCTCCCAGCTTCCCTTCTAACTAGGGTTGTCTATGTGACCCAGCTCTACCAGATGATAGTTACATGAAAGTCTGCTTGGAAATTCTGGGAATATTAGTACTATTTCCTTGGTGATAGAGACAGACTCAAGTAGACAGCTCCTGTTGTCATCTCCTCCCCCTTCTTCTTGCATGGGATTGAAGTGTGATATCTGGGATTGTGGCAGATAGTATGGGGCAATAAGGTCACAAATATTAAAACAAAAAGTCAACATTGCACCACCAAACAGAAAGATAAAAGGCACCTGGATTTCTGCTGCTATCACTGAGCTCCCAGAACATCCCAGAGACCAACCCTTTGTTAAATGAGCACTTAATATTCTAATGATTTAAGAGCTTGTTAATCAAAGTGCAATTCACAGAGTAGCAACATCGCCAAGAGCTGGGATCTCATTAGAACTGCAGAATCAGACCCCGCCCCAGATGTACTGAATCAGAATCTATAATTTAACAAGACCTAGGTTATTATCATGAGCATTTAAGTTTAACAAGCTCTGGTTAAGCCACCTTTAGTTAAAACTGAGCATTCCTAAATGATCCCACATGAAGAGCCAAGCTTCCCAGCAGCATTTACTGAATAGTCCATGCTTTCTCCAATGATTCTATCAGATGCCAAGTGCCCGTAGGTCCACAGTTCTATCCCTAGGTTCTCTGTTTTGTCCACTGGACTCTTAGTGTATTCCTGAACCAGAACACCTTCGTTACCAAACGCCAATATTACTTAATTAGTATAACTTCAGTATAACTTTAAAATAAGTCTTAGTTAACTGATTGAGCAACTCCCAACACCTTGCTATTATTCAAAACTGTCTTGGCTCCTCTCAGCTTTTTAATCTGATATAGGACTTTTAAAATCAGCTGTCAATTTCTTTAAGTCCTGTTGAAATGCTGAATGCCATTGCATTGCATTTATAGCTTTGTTGTTGTCTTTCCCTCTATTCTTTGTTGTCTTTCCCTCCATTCTTTTTTGTTGACCAGTTTTAAATATGTTCTAATTTCAATTATGATTTTTTGACCCAAAGGTAAAAGAAGTGACTACTAAATTTCAAAATGTATTGAGACATTGGCTACCTTTTTACTTATTTCAAATGCTACATTGTGACCAGAGAACAATGTCTGTATAAACTATTTGCCATTGGTTGAGATTTACTTTTTGGCTCAGTAAAACTTTTGTAGGTGTTCCTGTAGGCTCTTAAAGAATGTGCAGCCTGTTACTGTGGTACCTTCCACAATCAAGGCCCCATCCCTCCGCTACCACCTTAGCTACAGCTTCTCAGATGGTCCAGCACACCCTTGCCTGCACCCCATCCTCCTGTCTGCCTGGAACGTTCCTACCCATTCTCCATCGCTTAGTCCAAGGACTCTGAGGCTCCATGTCAAGCCTTTCCTGACTTTTCCAGATTGAACTTGTCATCGGCTCTTCTTTGGACTTCTGCAGTAATATTAACACTGCTCCCCTGTTTCCACCCTTCTCCTGCTGTCTAATGTCCATGAATAGCCACAGTTCTCCTCTCCTGTTAAAACAAGAGACAGGTGATGTCACGCTTCATTCCAAAACCCTCCAATGGCTCTTCACTCATTCAAAGTAAAAGACAAAGCCTTTATAGTGGTCACGAGACCCTGTCTTGCGCCCAGCTGCCCTCTGACCTCATTTCCCACTCCCTTCCCCTCACTTTGTCTGCCGCAGTCATGTCAGCCGGCGCTATTCTTCAAACATGCTTGCTGTTCATCTGAACTGGGGCATTCTCCCCTGCAGACATGTGCACTTCCCTTAGGTCTCTACCACACTGTCCTCTTGGTACGGGAGACCATCTCCATCCTCCATCTGCTACTAAAGAGCTGTCCGTGCCTCTGTGCCCCACTGACACCCCCGCCCCATACCCATCACCCACCACTGCCACCCTAAGAGCTGTCCACCCCTCTGTGCCCCGCTGACACCCCCGCCCCATACCCATCACCCACCACTGCCACCCTAAGAGCTGTCCACCCCTCTGTGCCCCACTGGTACCCCCTCCACATACCCAGCACCCACCACTGCCACCCTAAGAGCTGTCCGTGCCTCTGTGCCCCACTGACACCCCCGCCCCATACCCATCACTCACCACTGCCACCCTAAGAGCCGTCCACCCCTCTGTGCCCCACTGGTACCCTCGCCATACCCAGCACCCACTACTGCCACCATGAGTCGTGACTCCTCTGTGCCGCAGCTGCACCCCCGCCCCGTACCCAGCACCCACTACTGCCACCCTTCACATCTGCATTTACTTGCTTAATGCTTTTTAGTCTCCCACCACTAGAGGTGAGTTCCGTGAGAACAAGGACTTGCTCTGTTTTTCTCACCACCATGTCTACAACATAGAGAAAGTATCTGATAAATACTTGTTTCCAGGTTGATGGTTATTGACCTGAAAAACAAGCAAAATGCAGCAGATACGCCAAAGACAGTGAAGAGTGGGAAAGTCCTTTAGCCCTTTTTCTGTGCAGTGATTTGGTGGTTCATACCTTTTCAAAAAATGGGGTCTGTGGCACTCAGGGAAGAGGCCGCACTGCAGGGAATAACCCAGGGAGGTAGTAAAGGCAGTGGCACAGCTCACTTTCGAAAAGGGCGAGGCGAAGCCCATGAGGGCCTTGACAGAGGCCTCTCTCTGGAATCATCTGGATGGCTGCACGGCACAAGGCAGAGCCCACCGCAGCCTCAAACGCCTCAGAACCTCAGAACCGTCCACCAGGGGAAAAATACTTCTGGTGGGTTCAAACCTAATCAGCACCAGGGGTCTTCTAAGATCATCTTTCACCCAGATACACCCTGTGGAGAGAAGCTTTCACACTAATGCCCTATCATCCTGTCTCTCCTCAATTTTCTAAATAACATTTATTCTATCTGATATTATTTATTATTTTATAATTATTTATTAATTTTATTTTTAAATCTCTAAATTTTCTCTGTACTACCCCTGGTACAAAGCTCCATAATGGCATATGCCAAAACTCCAAACATGCCTGTTTTGTTCTGTGTCCCCAGGCCCTAACATTGCGCCTGGCATGTAGTATATGCTCAATACGTGGTGTTAAATGAATGAATGATCACAGGAGAGACAGAAATGTGAAGAAAAGAAGAAAAACGGTTTTTAGAACTGAGAGGAAGGCCGAGCACAGTGGCTCACTCCTGTAATCCCAACACTTTCAGAGGCCAAGGCGGGCAGATCCCTTGAGATCAGGAATTTGAGACCAGCCTAGTCAACATGATGAAACCCCATCTTTATTAAAAGTACAAAAATTAGCCAGGCATGGTGGTGGGTGCCTGTAGTTCCAGCTACTTGGGAGGCTGAAGCAGGAGAATTGCTTGAATTCTGGAAGGTGGAGGTTGCAGTGAGCCGAGATCACACCACTGCACTCCACCCTGGGCGACAGAGCAAGACTCCGTCTCAAAGCAAAAAAAAAAGAACTGAGAAGCAGACGAAAGAGATGTCACTTTGAATAGTAAAAGGGAAGTGACTTAAATTGTGTGTGTGTGTATATATATATGTATATACAAGTGAAGTGAGATGTCTCTGCAAATTAATGTAAGAAAAAAAGACACTAGTGAGTAAACAGCAAGCTGAAGGAAGCAGAGGCCTCCCACAGGCCTGAAGAAGAAAGAAATTTCTTTCCCAATTAGGCGGCACAGCCTTGCATGGTTCCCCAGCAGAGTATGACCAAACCGATGAATCTTTGCTGGACTCCTGCCTGCAGCTCCACATGATGTCAGGACCTACACACACACGCACACACACACGCACACTCCTACCACACATACAGCTTCCCAGCCGGTAGCACTTCACCCCAGCATGTAGAAAGTGCACTTAAGGACAAAAAGGAACCCAAACTCACCCTCCCTCGCGCTCTGCCAGCCCACGTTTCCCTCTGCTCAATCTCCCAGGCCACTCTGGAGGCCCCAGCAGAGCAACTGAGAGAAAAAGAGAGCGTTCTTCCTGTAATTCACTGAAGACTGTAAAGGCAGCCTCCGCCTCCTTCTCAGGAAACAGCCCAAGGCAAACGTGGACTCAGGCATCTGAGCACAGCGTCCAGCCATGCGAGGATTCATCCCACATCTAGTCGCAGTTCCCACTTATAGAGCAGGGTGGTCGGAGATGGCTCCAGAGCCCAGCGTAGGGGAGACCTTAGGCCCAGCCCAGCAGGACAACCATCAGGAGGAAGGGAAGGGGTTAACTGCTGAGGGCCAGGTTGGCTGAAATGTAGATGAAATCAGAAATACTGTTTTTGGTAAGGTATTGACCCCTCCAATGCCCAGTTCACAGAATCCTAACTGTGCAAGGGGCAGGAAATACCAGAAAAGCAGACACGGAAAAATCAGCATCCCCCCACCCCCTGCTTTAGGAGCTCCGCTGGCTTCCTCCTGGGGGCTGCTCTGCGGCACCATCTAGCTTCATGGGACTTCTGACAGGCTCCTTCCGCCCGCTTCTTCCTCCCTTCTGCCAGCCTCAGCCCTCCTCCTCTTCAGGGCTCACACCCACTCCCCGACGCAACTTCTCTCAGGACAGCCAATCTCACAGATGTCTGGGAATGTGCCTCTGTCCCCATCCTGCGGAATCTGCTCCCCACCAGGCTGGGGAGACACGCTTTGGACCAGAAGGAAAGCTTTCCAGGGTCCCTGCGATCCAACCCCACAAGCAGCCTCTTCTCCCATGGCTGAACAGGCGACCTTCCCGGTGCCAAGCCCATCCTCCCCCACAGCTATGCACCAGCACACACATCTACACACGTGTGCACACGTCACACATGCACTGCAGTCCTGTCCCATGGCGTCCCAGTCTCCAGGCTCTGCAATCCACCTGGCTCCATCCCTCCGTCTCTCACCTGGGTGGAAGCAGCTGCTGGTCCCCCAGGGCACAGGATGTGAGGAGGGCGAGGAGGGTGAGGGGAGAACACCGGAGAGCGACCCTCTTCCCAGGCCTGGTCCTCCTGGCAGGAGGGTTTCGGGTGTTTCTGCAAAGGAAGAGATTTCTAGAAACAGCCTTCACAATCACAGAGGCATGCAGTTGGAGAGGAAGTTCCGTGTGCAGGCCACAGGCTCAGCACGTCAAGAGCCATCAGGGCTCAGGGAGGAGCCAGCACTGGGGACACACGCGCCTTCCCTGGGTGCTGAGTGCCTTGTGGAGTCACAGCACAGCAGAAACTGAGGAGCCCGGCCTCGCCCGCAGCTGTAGACTGAGAGGAGGGAGGAGAAATGACAGCAGAGACTTGGCCAGGGGCTGGGGCGCCGGGGTGGGTGCCAGGCTGGTGGGTGCCAGGCTGAGCTTCAGAAGGGCTACAAGAACAGGGGCTTGGATAGGGCAGGAGAAGGACGTCAAGCCGGTTCCTGTTCCTGAGAGGACAGAGATTGTGGCTCCGCTACAGGCTCCGAGCAAAGCCAGCTGCCGGCCTCTGTGTGCTCTGAAGTGGCCTTTAGGACTTCCTCTAACAAGTCCTTCCTCGCTTCCCTTGCCTTCCCTAAAACCCACAACCCAGGGAACTCCGAGCCTGACAGACCAGCGCTGCTTCTCAGGGAATGAATGCTTTTCCCCAGCTTGCAAAACATGTGAAATGCTATGCTTCGGTGCTTTCAAATATTTCACAAAATGAAACCCCTTTTGTGAAAGAACATAGTGTCCCAAATTCCTGGTCTCTACTTCATAAGGAAGTCAAACACGGAGGAAGACTTCTTTAAAAACCTTTACTGGGGTAAAAATGATGTAACATTAAATGTACCATCTTAACCACGGTAGAAAGTACATTCACATTGTTGTGTGCCAGGTCTGCAGGACTGTTCATCCTGCAGCACCCAGATTCTCCCCATTACACCCCAACTCCCCTCCCCAAACCCCAGCCCGGGTAACCACCGTTTTACTTTCCATTTCTATGATTTTCTTTTTTTTTTTTTTTGAGACAGAGTCTTGCTCTGTTCCCCAGGCTGGAGTGCAATGGTGAGATCTCGGCTCAGTACAACCTCCACCTCCCAAGTTCAAGCGATTCTCCTGCCTCAGCCTCCCGAGTAGCTGGGATTAGGCATCCGCCACCACACACGGCTAATATTTGTATTTTTAGTAGAAATGGGGTTTTGCCATGTTGGCCAGGCTGGTCTTGAACTCCTAACCTCAAGTGATCCACCTGCCTCGGCCTCCCAAAGTGCTGGGATTACAGGTGTGAGCCACCACGCCCGGCCTGTTTCTATGATTTTTGGCAACGTCAGATACTCATGTGAGTGGAGTCCCACAATGTCTGCCCTTCTGAGACTGAGCAGAATGCCCTCGAGGTTCGTCCAAGTGAGTGCGGAACCGTCTGCACTCTGCACGCAGGGCTGTCTTCACGGAATGCAGAGGCTGGGGCCTCGAGGGACTGGAGCTCACTGCAGTTTTCCAAATGTCTGAGGTGGTGCTGAGCTTTCCAAAGGGACCCCACAGAAGGAGGAGCAGTGGGGGTAGCTGAAGTAGAGGGGCATGCTTCAGATATGAAGTCTCTACAATAGTCAAAACCACAGGCTTTGGGGTGCTGCTGTCAGCCTATCACATCCCGAGGGATCCACCCTCTTCGTGGACTGGTCTTCATGCGCCAGCCTTGAGGGCTGCTCTACCTTGTTATGAACCTGAAGGAAACCCTGGTTATGCTGGGATAGCCCAAGAAGAGGTTTGGGGACACACAGGACACATCTTGATGGGGAAAACTGACAAAGCCCCTCCTCCCATGTCCCACTCCACCTGCCTCCTCATTAAAAGAGGATCTATTTTGGAAGAACCCCCACCCTTCCTTTGCAGTAGGTCAATGCACATAAAATCAACTCATTAAAATGATAAGACAAAAACCCTAAGCCAGGTACTGCAGTTCATGCCCGCTGCGGTACTAACAGAGGCTCAGCAAGAAATTGTTTCCCTAAAATAGAGAAGAAAAGGCTCACTCATTCTTAAATGAAATATTAAGCATCCAGGGATTGCTCTGAGTAAAACTGAAGCTGCAAATAACTCCTCAAAGATTCAGGAAGTCGATTATTTGCTGAGTTGACCATTTTGCAAAATGATCTTTCAACAAATCAGCTTAATTGATTTCCGTGCAGAAGGAAGGTTGCCGGGTTCTGGTTTGGCACCGATCTGAGGAAGGATGGGGGCTCCCTGCCCTCTAGTGGCTTTGTGGTTAATGACAAGTGCGGCAAAATGCTCCCCAGCGGGCTGAGAGCCCTGACTCAGCAGGCAGGTGAAACAGTGCGGAGAAGGACTGGACTTCCGGAAATCGAATAGGCCAGGAAGACACATGTTACGCAAGCAAGGAGAAATCCACCAGGACCAAGCACCGTATTAGACACAGAGGGCACAAAGATTAGCAAGGCAAATTCCTGACTCAAGGGGCCCTAACTCAGTCTGAGGATGGGGAAAAGACTACGCTGTGGTCACGAAACGAGGTAATATGCTGTGACAGAGATGCGTCCAGGCTGCCACGCAAGTGAAGAGGAGACGATGTAAACCCCACAAGATGGAAAAACAACCAACTGGGGAAATAAACTTATAAACAAATCAGTAAACCCGCCATTTCCTGTGGCAGGTACTGCCATGGAGAAGACTGCAAGGCACAGTGGAGGGAAGGCCGCGCGGGAAAGGTAATGCCTGAGTCTTGAAGAGCTGTAAACATGTGCCAGTCAGATGACAGAGAGAGGACACCTGAGGCAGAAGGAGAATGGCAAATGCCACCGCCATCGGGGCCCTAAGACAGCCCGGCAGGTGCGGGAAAAGGCAGTCAGGCTGGAGAGGGAAGGACCCGGAAGGACCAGTCGGAGGCTGCTGCAGCGCCAAAGCTAGAAATGAGAACTAACACAGAGACAGCAGCAAGCGGAACAGATTTATTACAAATTTAGAAAATAGAAACAATAAGGCCGGGCCTGGTGGCTCATGCCTCTAATCCCAGCACGTTGGGAGGCCAAGGTCGACAGATCAACTGAGGTCAGGAATTCGAGACCACCCTGACCAACCTGGTTAAACTACAAATACAAAAAATTAGCTGGGTGTGGTGGCCTGTGCCTGTAATCCCAGCTACTCAGGAGGCTAAGGCATGAGAATTGCTTGAACCTGGGAGGCTGCAGTGGGCCAAGATCCCGACACTGCACTCCAGCCCGGGCGACACCAGTGAGACTGTCTCGGAACAAGAAAAAAGAAAAGAAAAGAAAAGAAAAGAGGAGAGAAAAGAAGAGAAACAGTAAAAGAATTTTTTAAAAAGATGAATTCACCGTTGTTAACACGATTGGACTAGTTGCCACATCAAAGGGAGTGCTATTCACTGCAGAGGCATCTTTGTTATTTTGGAAAACATGATTATACGCTGTTTCATTTCAAAGATGGAAAATGTGTGTGTTTCC